GGTCCTCTGGAAGAGCAGCCAGTGCTCTTAACTGCTGAGCCATGTTTGATTTCCAGCAGCCATGTATGTGCACACCATGTCAAGGCCAGAGGACAACTTGCAGGAGTCAGTTCTCTCTCTTCACCATGTGGGTCACAATGTGAAGCTGAGATCATCAGGTCTGGCTGTAAGTGCCTTTACCTGGGAGCCATCTTGCTGAGCCCCGCAAAGTATTCTTTTAATATTTGGACTTAGCAGCAGTGTTTGTGGAGAAGTTGGTTACCTTTAACATGAATGTTTAGCTTTCGATTGCATAACTCCTTGAGCAGGTGAAAAAACTAACTTTAAATTTTTAAGAAACCTTGGTTGGGCTGGACAGAGGTGGCACACACCTTTAATCCCAGTACCCAGGAGGCAAAGGCAGGCAGATCCCTGTGAGTTCGAGGCCAGCCTGTTCTACAGAGTGAGTCCCAGGACAGCCAAGGCTGTTACACAGAGAAACCCTGTCTTGAAAAACCAAAAAAGAAAGAAAGAAAAAAAGAAAGCTTGGATTTTCATCATTGAGGGGAGTGATATGAATTTATGTATCAACCAAACACAAACACACAGTCCCAAGAACTTGTTTATTTGTTTTGTAAATTAGTGTTTATTGTAATCTGACTATTCAAGCACCGAGCCAGCTAGTCCTGAGGACTTGCAGAGCTCGGCGGAGACCTCCAGAGTCCCCACTTAACGTCTCCACTTACTTTAGAATAAGCAACTCGGCTGTTACATATCCCAGAGTCCTCTTCCTCTCAGGCCTCGCCTGCACCCTGCATCTCAGATATCCATTAAATAAAACTTCTGTCAACCCAATCTCCACAGGGCTAATGTCTGATGCCTTTTCTCTTTGCCACACATATACAAATCATTAGCAAGATTTATTTATATAGTCTTCAAAGAGAGTCTTGAAACTGTTCGCTTCTCCCTGTCTCTGCTGTTACTGTGCTTGGAGTCTGTTGGTCTCATCTAGGCAACTGCCTCATGCCTGGCCTTTCCTCTCCCTCTCTTTCCTATTTCTGTTCTCCTAGCTCTCCACAGAACAGCCAGAATCATCTTAATGAATGGCATCAGGCCTTATTTCAAAATATTCAGACACCCCTTACCATATTTAGGATTACATTTTCTTAGTTCTTTCTCTTTTTTTCTTAACATTTTTTTATTTTTCCATTTTCATGTGTGTGCATGCATGTATGTGTGTGTGCTTATTTGCACGTGTGAGGATATGTGTGGGAGTGCATGTGCACTGGTGTGTGCGTGTATGTTTGCATTGCACATGTGTGTGCTTGAATGTGTGTGTGTTCACATGTGCACACGTGAAGACCCTCCCTCCGTCATTCTTCCACGTTATTCATTAAGGCAGGGCCTCTCAAGCAAACCTAGAGCTCGCTGGTTGGGCTAGTTTTGCTAGCCAGCTTGCTTGGATGACCCCTGTTCCTGCTTTCCCAGACAGGAATTACAGGTATGCTGCCGTCCCCGCCCAGCATTTATGTTAGTCCCGGGGATCTGAACTCTGGTTTCCATGCTTAAGTAGCACGTGCTTGGAGTCATAATTTGGAATTAAACGTCAGGTCTTTCTATTGCCCTTAACTCCTGACGAGTCGTTCACTCTTCCATACTCGTGCAGTCTCACCAATCCCATTTTCTGCCCCACATTGTCCTCCAGACATTCTGGTGCTTTGTCTGCCTGCCTGCTTTCCTTTCTTTCCTCCTTTCTTTTACTTATTTTTCTAACATTTATGGCTTTGTGCAGCGTAATTCTATCCATCTGGAATGTTCTTGCTCTTCCCACACCTGACTCTCCTTAAAATTTAGTCTTAGCTGCCCTTCCTCGAGAAGCTTCTCCTGGTTACCCTGTATCTGCCATAGAAGCACACCTTCCCCCATTTGCATTTCTCCTCCCCCCTTTCTTTTCTTTCTAAGCGTTTGGCATCATCTTTACAAGTTAATTTGTCAGCTTACCTACTGGATGTGTCTTCCACGCTGGAGACTAAAACTCTAAAGTCGTTGTTAATTAAATAACTGAGCTCACATGAAAACCACTTTGATTTCATTCTCAAGGAGTCATACACATGCCTGGCATTTGCCCTTATCAGTAGTAGGCTCCCAAATATTACCAGGAGGACAGCAGCATCCATGTTTACTTATGTGGACTCTGCCTGTTGATATCAATGGTTCCTGACTCACAATGGCTTGACTTACATTTTTATTTCTGACTCTAGGATTGAGGGAGTGCAATTTGCATTCATTGGAAATTGTATTTTGAATTTTGATCTTTTTCCCAGGGTAACAATATGTACTATGATGCTCTCTAGGGAATCTGGGCAGGAAGCCATCACTCCCAATCAGCCACATGAGCTTGAGGCTAAACAACAGATACCTTCTTTTTAAATTTGAATTTAATTTTTTTCCCGTTGAGATAGGGTCTCATATAGCTCAAACTGGACTCAAAGTCACTATGTAGCTAAGGATGACCATGAATCTCTCAACCTTCTGCCTCCAGCTCCCAATTGCTGGGATTATGGGTGTGCAACACCACACACAGCTTTGTGTAGTGCTAGGAGTCAGACCCAGGGCTTTGAGCAGACTAGACAACTACTCTACCCACGAAGCAATACCACCAGCTACAAATAGCTACCTCACGGCATTCACGTTGTTAAGCTATGTTGGTAGCTGACATTTTTTAAATTTAATTTTGTAATATAATATATATGAGTGTTTTGTCTGTATATATGTGTGTGTGTGTGTGTGTGTGTGTGTGTGTGTGTGTGTGTGTGTGTGCTACATGCATGCCTGGTGAGCAAAGAGACCAGAAGAAGCTATTGGATCCCTTAGAACCAGAAGGGGATGATTGTGAGCCATTATGTAGGTCCTGGGAATTGAACGCAGGTCATCTGCAAAGGCAGAGAATACTCTTAACTGCTGAGGCATCTGTCAGCTCCTAGATTTATTCTGGAACTTGAGATATTTTCACCTTTCACTGTAAGTAGTGCCACCATCAGTAGAGGGGCAGCTGTAGTTTTATTTAGTAGTTAAACTAGGGGCTAGAGAGATGGCTCAGTGGTTGCTGCTTGTCTAAAGGACCCAAACGACCATGTGGGGCAGCTCACATTGTCTGCAACTCTAGATGCAGGGATCCACCACCTTTTCCTGACCTTCTTGGACATGGAAGTCATATTCACATGTGCTGTGCAAGCACACACACAGACACACACACACACACACACACTTACATGGAATCTTAAAAAGAACTAGAAAATATAACCAAATAATTTAAGGAGATTGACTCTATGATTGAAAAACCTCCCACAAAGACTTCATTATAAATCCAACCAACTATTCAAGGAAGAAGCAGTTCAAAGAAGTTCAAAGAAGGGAAGGGAAGATTTGCACACCCATTTCCCGAGACCAGTGTTAAACTAAACACTAACACTAGATCCAGACCAGGATACTACAAGAAAATAAAAGTCACTGTTCCTGATGAATGCAGAGGCAAAAATCTTCTACAAAATACCAACAAATGAAATTTAGCTCATCATGTACCATGCTCAAGGGGTGGGGGTGGAGGGTGGATTAGCAGTCACAAGTCAAGCTCTGTGGCATTCTAGTTTAATGGAAGAGGATTAATCCTCAGCTCTGTAGTTAAAGAGTATTTAGCCAAGTTCAGCATCCTTTTAGAATAAAAACCTTGGGAGGTAAGTGTAGAAAGCACGTACCTCAGCACAACAAAGGTCTTTTTTGGCAAACCCATAGTAACATAATAATGATAAAACAAACCCATAGTAACATAATAATGATAAAACAAAATACAGAACGTTTTTCCTCTAAGAATCAAGACAATTTTTATTAGACAATGTCTCTCTATATTCTGGAGCTCACACTGTAGACCAGACTGGCTTTGAATTCATAGAGATCCTCCTGTCTCTGAATTCCCCGCATGTTAGGATTAAAGGTGTGTGCCACCATGCTTACTTATCAAGACAAAAATGCATTCTTTTACCATGTCTTGTCAATATGATCCCGACATTTCTATCCAGAACAATCATATCAGGAAAAAAAGAAGGCATAGAGATTGGAAAATAAAAAGGTAAGATGATCTGTTTGTAGTTGGCAAGATCTTACATATAGAAAACTCTAAAGATAACATAAAAATAGTCTGCCAGAATTGATAGATTAATTTAGCACAAAATCAAAATAAAGAAATCAGTACTTTGTATATCAACAATGGGCTACCTGCAAAGGAAATCAACAAAACCTTGACTCAGTGGGTCAAGGCACTTGCTGCCAAGGCTGGAAGGCTGGACTACAACCTTAGTTGAATCCCCTGGACCCCACATTATGGAAGGAGAGAACCAACTACCAAAACTTATCTTCTTTACATACCAAGACACAGTTGAATCATGTATACACACCACACACACACACACACACACACACACACGCACCACACACACAACTATGACAGACTAGAAACTAGAAAAACAATTATCTTTGTAGCCTCGTTCATGAATCAAATGTCCTTTACCTGCCTTTTGCCCTTCATTATCATCTGCTATAACCTTCCTGTGGTCTCCTTCCTTAATATACTATAATCACACTTCTATTTGTATATGTGTGCATATATATAATTAACTAATATCTTTTACACACAAACACACATACACAAACAAGTGTACATTATAGGCTGAGATCTACTTATGGCAGCCAAAGTGTTTTGTTTTGCTTTTCCCTGAGTTTTGGTCACTAACTTTATATTTTCCAAATCCATCCATTTTTCCCGAAAACTTTGTGATTTCAGTTTTTCTTAATAACTCAAGACTATTCCATTCCTTTCTCCCACCCAAGGAATTTTAAAATGACAGTGACAAAGGACTCTAACAGACATTAATCAGAAGACGCCGTCAGGTACGTGAAAGCATGCTCAGTGTTAATAATCATAGGGGAAAGGTAAGCTAAAACCATGAAGAGATGTTACGTCATACCTTCTAGAATGGCTGTTAAAAACCAATGTATGGGCATGAATGTGGAGAGAAGAAAGTCTTATTAGAGCGATGTAAATGAATATGGAAGTTCATAAGCACATATCAAAGCATACCATAGCATGGCATAAATATATCAATTGTTACCTACCTTAAAAGACAAGAAATCAGACAACTTTAAATGTACAGCTACTGATTTAAAATAATAGTAATAAACACTTCACAAGTTCAAATAACACTTTAAGTGAAAAAGACTTTATGAAACAAAAGATTACCTGGTAGCGTCACTTTACATCTCTGCGAATCTCTTCCGTGCCAGACGTGGTAGGGAACAGCTGGATTCTCGTCTGCTGGAGCCTTCTGCCTGTTATGGTATCACAGGTCGCACTGCCTCAGGAAAATGTCACTGTACACTCGGAAGCAACAACTGTTGTAAGCAATGAAGACAAACACTGTGTGCGTATGTGCGCTGCATGTATACACATCCAAGTGTGCATGTGTGTCAGATCATTGTCTGGTGTCTTCCTTCATCACTCTCCAGTTTATGTCTTGAGACAAGGTCTCTCACTGAACCTGAAGCTCACCAGTTAGGCTATGCTTGCTGGCCAGCAAGCCCCAGAGATCGTTCTGTCTGTCTATCTCCCCTGCACTGGGATTGCAAATGGGTCTCGTGACCAACTGCTTATGATGTCGGTGCTGGGGATTGAACTCAGGTTCCACGCTCGCAGAGTAAGAGCTCTACCTGCTGAGTCATCTCCTCAGCCCACGCGGAAATGCTTTTGATTGATGTGGTCCCATGACTTTGTGGGTTCATACTCTGAATTAAAGTCTATTTGGGTATAAATTTGGAATTATAGAGACATAATAATATTTAAGATAGGTTAGTGATAGTGATATTTAATGACAATGGATACTTTTTTCAGTTTTAATGGCTCTAACAGGAATGTTTTATATATCTCTCTCATGAATGAACATTTTATGGATATTGTATCTTTTCAAGAATATTGAAAGTAAGGGCTAGAGTGATGGCCCAGAGGTTAAGGGCACATGTTGCTCTTACAGAGGACACAGGTTCAAATTCCAGCACCCACATAGAGGCTCACAACCATTTGTAACTCTAGTTTGAAGGGGAATATAATACCCTTTTTCTGGCTTCCTCAGATGCAAACAATGCAAATATATGCATGTATGATTCAAATACATACATGCAGACGAGACAGCCACATGCATAAAAAACCCAGCTAAATCTAAGAGCCAGAATTTTAAAAAGCAACAAATTGCTTTCATTAACAGATGAGGAAATTATTATAATACTCTAATAGGTGGGGAAAACAGAAATGAAGCGGCAGCAAAGGGTTGTTTAAGAACATACTGGCTAGGAATGCTGCCGAGTGGAAGCCCCCCCGCCAGCTGATCACCGATATTCCATGCGTATTCCTATTCTAAAGGCTACGGACGAAATCCCGCATCCTTAGAAAGAGACATTATGCCTGACGGGAAGGTTTCAGTGTTAGATGACAAAGGAATAAAATTGTCAGGACGACAAAGAGAAAAACATAGAACCAACATCTCTAAACCCCCTTACCTGGCTATGCTTTTACTCAAAAAAATGTCTTTTAAACATGTTGTAATGAGGGGGGGAAATGAACCTGGAAGGAAGGAGGGAGACTTAAGAATGAATGACTTGGCAATACATCAGTCTTTATGATTAATAGTTTCCACTATAAAATGGATTTTGGGGTGGTTGAGGGTTAAAATGTATAATTAGCTGGGACCCATGGTGCATGCTTTTAATCCCAGTGCTCACGAGGTAGGGGGCAGATTGATGTCTGTGAGTTCAAAGCCGGCCTGGCCTGCATAGTGAGCTCCAGGAAGGCCAAGGCTACCCAGTGAGACCCTGTATCAAGACAAAACAAACAACCAAACCTAGCTGAACAAACAAACAAACCAAAAAGGTATCCTACAATTATGGTAGAGATAAGAAATTCAATGTATTGCTAAGGTGTGCCAGTACACGTAGTGTTTTCTTAATGTTTGTATATAAATTAAGAATTTAAAGAATTAACAGGACTTAAATGGAAGAATGGAATAAACAAACAAAGGAAATAAAAGACAGTAAGGAAAACTCAACCAACTCAATAGAAAATCTGGGAAGGAGAAAATGGCAGCAAAAAAAAAAGCATATTACATAAATATGCCAGTATTTGCAAGTGTAAAAGCATAGGCATATCAGTTTATATTAATTGAAACTATTTAGAATGGACAGCTAAAGCAGACAAAATAGAACAAAAAATAGTGGCAATATAAACACAGTTAAGAAGCTTAGTCTTCTGAACTTAAATAGAAATTAATGCTTGGCAATTAGAGAACGGCTGGCTCTTGTCTAACACCTCGAACAATTCAAAGCAGTCATACCTTAAACCAAAGGAAGCCTAAAGAAATGGCAAATTGCACAGACTAGTCCTATTTGACTGCAATGCAGTGGATTTTCAAAAATCTACATTCAAAAGATATTTCTTTTTTACGTACTTCAGAGCCGTAAACGCATTCCTCTAGGCCACTAATGGAAACAAAGTGCGCATCTGAACCATGATGAGGTATGTGGGATCCGGTTCAAGTGGCACTGGGAGGAGAATTTATAGCCTTCGATGCATATGTTAGAAATTAAGAGAGAATAAAAATAAACGAGATAAATATGCAACTCAAGAAGCTAGGAAAAGGAGCCCAAATAACTAGGAAAGAAATGAAGAGCAAATTAAATGACAAAGAAAAAAGAATGTGGCAGTCAGAATCAAAAGCCACTTTTAAAAAAAGACATAAAAAAAACAAAACAAAACAAGAACTGTATCAATAAGAAGCAGAATCCTACTGGAAGAAAGGATGATAAACTGTAAGCTAAAGTATTTTATAAGGCTTGTATAATTTCGATACCAAAGCCAAACAAGGACAGTAAAATAATAATAATAATAAAGTGTGAACTGAAACACAAAACTGATATCCAGCTGCATGTGTAAAGCAGACCCTCATAGCACGGGTAAGTAGGGCTTAGGAATGTAAACACATTTTAACCCCAGCAACTGCTGTGCTTCACATCCTTAGCAGATAGGAAATCATCAAATCGCAACAAATACAGAAAAGCCATAAAATTAAACTCATCAATGGTATAATTTTTTTTAAGCTAGGATTTTTATAACCTCCAATAAAAAGACTCTTGTCAAAATGTACTCGAGGCAAAGCTAAGACTGTCCTTTCTCTCAAGTCTGGAATCAGAATTATTTTGTCTCACCACAGAGATACGATTGTTAATGAAAGTTTCAAACAAACAAAAAAAACCCAATTATTAATGAAGATATTAATATTTTCAAAATCCCTGAGAAATCTATAAAAAGATAACCAGATAACAACAACAACAACAACAAAAAACCTGCCAGCCAGTTCACAGGCTCACACACCAACACACAGCTAGCAATGGCCAATATTCCCTTCAAAAAAATTGTATAACTCAAGTTAATTCATGAGAAAATCATCATACGAACCCAAATTGAGAAATGTTCTATACAGTATTTCCCTTTGTAAACCCCCAACCAAACAGCCAAGTTTATGGAAAATAGGGAATGCTAAGAAACAGGGTCCGAATATAGGAGTGTGTGTGTGTGTGCGTGTGTTTGGTGGTGGTGTTGGGGTCCTGTTTGTGTGTGTGTGGTATTGGGGGGTCCTGTGTGTGTGGTATTGGGGGTCCTGTTTGTGTGTGTGTGTGTATATGCGTCTAGTATTGTGGGGTCCTGGAATTTTTTTTGTGTATGTGTGTGTGTATGGCATTAGGGGTCCTGTGTGTGTGTGGTATTGGGGGGTCCTGTGTGTGGTATTGGGGGTCCTGCTTATCTGTATGTATATGTGTGTAGTATCATGGGGTCCCGTTTCTTCTGTGTGTGTGTGTGTGTGTGTGTGTGTGTTGTATCGTAGAGTATTGATCTGTGTGTGCATGTGTGCGTGTGTATTTGGTGGTGTTGGTGTTGGGGTCCTGCTTGTATGTGTGTGTGTGTGTAGTATCATGGGGTCCTCTGTGTGTGTGTGTGCATTGAATCATATTGTTTGTGTGTGTGTATGGTGTTAGGGGTCTTGTGTGTGTGTGTATATGTGGATTATGGGGTCCTGTTTTTGTGCGTGTGTGTGTGTGTGTGTGTGTGTGTAGCATTGTGGGGTCCTGTTTTTGTCCATTTGTGTGTGTGTGTGTGTGTGGCATTGTGGGGTCCTGTTTTTGTGCATTTGTGTGTGTGTGGTATTGGGAGTTTTGTTTGTGATACAGACATTAATGGAAAGGTGGGTAAAATCCAAACGCAGTCTGTATTCTCAAGTTTTGTGCTAGTATTGATTTCTTTTTGACAGTGTCCTGTGCCAATGTTCTGTTATGATGTTCTCATCCAGGGAAAATTGCAGTAGGAATCTTTGTATTATCTTGACAACTTTTATAAATCTGAGTTTTGTTTTTTTTTTTTACAAAATAACCAAGTAGAAATGACCCACAATAATGGATAGAAAAAAACACCTTCTAAAGGCAAATAGGACCTTTAAAGAAAAAAAAAAAACCTACCTATTACATTATCTTGTTCATATCTGTAGGATAGGAACAAACAGCAGCGCAGCCATGGTCGGAGATGGAGGCATTTGATAGCATGACATTTGCTGCCTTATCTAAATTACTCCCCAACCTTAATAAAACAGGAATACAAATCTCAGGAGGCTCTTTCATCAAACTCGACAAGCCCATTTGAAAATTCATTTGGAAGCAACAAGGTGAGGAACATTCAGAAGCATTTAGAAAACTGAAGAGTGGAGTGGCCCCTTCAGAAGTCAAGGCACTATAAATCGGTATTAATGAATATGGTGTGTTAATAATACACAGAGATCGACAAATGAGCCAATAGAACAGACCAGAAATTTCAGGGAGACACGTGAGTCTTCCTGATACAAAAACATGAAGTGTGCGTGTGACATCCCTACCACTAGAAATACAAAAATAAAAAAGTTCTAAAATCTAATATTCATTAGAATATTAGAATCTCTATTTACGTTCTTAAGGGCAGTTTTCTTAGGCATAAAAGCCAGGACTCATAAGGAAAGATAGTTGGATTTTATAGGGCCAATATCTGACGCCGTTTCAAGGCTCAGAGGTAGCATGGCTCTTTGCATTTTGTTGGCGGTGGTTGGTGTAGGGTCAGAAGGTAACTCAAACTCGGGGAGGAGGGGGGGGGAGAAAAAACCCTTTCCTATGCTTTGAAAGAGCCTTCTGTGCACCTTCCAAAAACCAGTGTGGTGCAGGGTGGGGAGCAGCAGAAGAAAGACTTTGGAATCGAGGAAACTTAGTAGGAAAGCTGGCTGAGACTCTATGGGACAAATTTGGGGTGCGTTTTGGATGTAGTCAGTGGGATATCCTGAAAAAAAAATAAAAGATTGTGAGGCTTTTGCCTATAACAACTGCCCCTGTTTTTAGAGACGAGGAAAAAGAAAAAAAATGCTGTTTGTTAGCGGGGATTGGACCCAGTGTCTAATGCATGCGAGGCAAGCGCTGTACCAAATGAACTACGTCGATCCCTAGCCCCTAACATGTTTTCAGTGCTTTTGAGTTACCTGTGAAATACATGAATGAAGCATCTGGCTTTCACGTGGATTGTGGAATATATGAGGCTAGGATTGTGTGGAGAGTTTTGTGCCATAGGATTAAAATTTGGGACCTATTGGTGTATGACTAGGCATCTAAACCTTGTGACTAGGTTAGGAAATAGGTGGCTACCTGGGAAGAGGTTGTGTAAGAATGGTAGCCATGTTCTGAGGCAAGAGCATTCGGCGTTCGGAGGTTGAGTAAAGGAAAAGTGGGCTATGATAGGGGAAGAGGCCACGGAAATAGAGGAGCATGCAGTGTTGCCCCAAACAAGAGACAATAGAGAGGGTTGTTGTTACCCCTCCATTTCAGATGTTGAATGTAAGCACGAAGAGAATTGGTAAAATTGTCATGCAATTTCAGGGCCGTCAAAAGGAAGTCTTCATGGCACATACGTTAGCCAAAGACGTGTTGGGAGATTGTGTAGCTGGAGAAAAGCGACTGACTGTAATATGGAGAGAAAGTGAGCCTGAGGAATACTGAGGAAACGGGGTCCTAGCTCCCTGGGAGCTCTCAGAGCCTACTGAATTCTCAGAAAACCGATGACCCATGACCCAGAGATAAACTGGTTTTGCAGCTACAAGGGACAGAGTCCTTCAAATACGTTAAAATACACCCCCACCCGGGCAACTTTAACAAGACGTTAGGATTCCCTGGGGGCTCCAAAACCAATCTCTGCGGAGTCCTGAGCGCGGACTGCGTTTACCAGCTCTCCTGTTGAGCAGAATGGATAGTCAGATTCAAAGACTTAAGCATAGTGTGGCGTTCACCTTCACTGCATGCGCTTGCACAGAAAGGACAGTATTTTCATTCATACGCTATGCTTCTGTGGCTCTGCGAGGGGAGAAAGCCTGCCCAAGGTCCGGGGATTTAAAACTGCGTAGGCTATCTATCCATAAGCACACCACTTCTCTGTCTAGCAAGCAACCACGAATAACTCCTTAAGTATAAATATAAAATTGAATCCGAGGTATCATATTTGCTGTACTCTTAGGTAAAACTGTTTTTAATCCACGGACCACGGTTTTGAATTTTTTTTCCCTTAAAATGAAAATACTGCATTTTATGTGCCTAATAAAAATATACGACCTGAAGTTTAGCGGCCACACAAAAATACAATTGTGTGGATTTACTGGAATTCAATTATGTTCTACAGAGTACATATTTAGCCATAAGAAAGAACGCCACGCTCCGTAAATACCCCCCCCCCCCGAAATTAGTCTTTCACACACCTGTGCTTATTTCCTTTGCTTGAATTCCTTGGCAGTGAAATGGTTCCATCAATAGTACATTAACAAACTTTTAATAATTCATCGATTTTACTGCCAGGGAAGAAATACCATTTATCTGCCAAGAAAATTCATGGGCTAGGAGAATAAAGCCAAAATCATTTTTCTGTATTCTATCCTCCCCTCCCCCATTTCTTTTCCTAGAGGTAACCAGTTAAAATTTTCTTGTACATCGTTCCAGAAGCTTCGCCCACAATTCTATTTATTTTAAACAAAGAAACAAATGAGAGAGAAAAGCAGAAAACCACACTTACCATTCCGTTTGTACAAACTTCAGCAACGTGTTTTATTTCATCGCATCTATTACGGTCTAGGTCCTTTGCGGCAGCGATACCCCGTTATTTTTTCCGGTGACAGGAATTTCTTCTATGAGAGGCAGGCTTGGTAATCTACCTGCTCACTCCCCTCGCAATTTCTCGCTAGTCTACGCAGTAGATTTCGCGCAACGGTGGATGACAGCATGCGATTCAGCGCACTGCCATAAACCGCCTTCACCCGGTATCTCAGGTTGGCGTTTTGCTATGCCGAGTCAAGTCATGATTCTTCCAGCCATTTGTATTGTCCTCTGACTTGCGGTCTCTTTTGCCCCCTTTTTTTGGTTTGCCTTTGTCTGTCCCTTGTAGGTTTCCAATAGCTCTTCGTTTATTAAGGAAATGAGCTTAGTGCTTGGGTGTTGCAGGCAGAAAACTCCTTTCTTCCACCTTTATCGTTCGTGGTTAGACCTCAACGTATATGTTTTTGCCTCGATTTTTCATGGCTTTTTTTTTCCTTTTCCCGTTTTTTAGACAAATATATGGTTGTCCTTTATCCCTCTCTTTCTTCTCAGGTTTTGCATTGGACCATCATTGGTAGGCATTTCAGTTTCACCTCGATTTCTTTTGGGGGGGCTGCATCCCTTCACACCCACATCCCATCCCCCTTTTCCAGACCCTGCTTGGGGGCCCCTAACACTGACTCCGTTGACGTCAACTCCGTGCCTTGGCGCCAAGCTGTTGCCTTGACAACCGCAGTCTGATTGGCAAGGTGTGGGAGGCGTGGTGAGGGACCGAGGCGGGCAACAGGGTCTCTGATTGGTCAAAAAAGAAGCTCCGCCTCTGCAGAGGACCCTGACAAGGAGGTGTCCCGCAGCTCTTGCTGCAGACGCTGGGGAGTCAAGAGTCGCAGGAGGACGAGCATTGGAGGAGAAGCGGAGAGATGTCCACCCTGGGCTGGTGGCGCCGCTGGGCGCCCGGCTCGGTGTGGGCGCACTAGACGGCCGACCTCGGTCGGGGTGTGTGCGCGGAGTGCGGTGCTCCGGGGAGGTGAGTCAGCCAGCTACCTGCCTGCCCAGTGGCATGCACCCTCTTGGATACTGTCTGCAGAGTTCAGACGGTGTTCGGGGTGCGTTGCTGCGGGCCAGGGGCGGCAAACCATGTCACATTTCACCGTGGGTTGACAAGGCTGCAAACTGCGCCTTCGGAAAGGTGGTTCGCCAAGGGGCGGCCGTGTTGCCGCAAGGATGTCACTTCTGTGGTTGCGATCTTAAGGGTACTCCATGTATCGTGGCCTCGGAGCCTCGGAGTCCCAGAATCTTAGGATCTTAGGGTTTTAGGGGCGAACCGCCCAGAATCCCAGCAGAATCTAGGCCCCCAACTTTCGCCCGAGTGCAGACGATCGTCATAAGACCACTCATGTGGACATCAGAGTGGTGTCTCTGAGCCGCCACTTCTGTGGTTTCATTTTCTCTGCTCAGCAGAGTCTGGGGGCCACGCGGTTAACCCGACCGCCAGCACATCTGGCTAGCAGCGTCTTCGCAATCTAGCCATCTACCGCTATGCGCTGGACCGTCCCTGGGGGCGGGTCTTGTTTTGCCGCAGTGGCCGTGGGCGGGACTGAGACCAGCTTGGGGGAGGGGCCAGACCTAAGGCCAAGAGATACTTTTGGCTCCACCCAGTGGGCGCCATCTTGGAGGGTGGAGAGAGGTTCGCAGGCAGGCTTATCCCAATTGGCTCCCTGTGGCAGGGGCGGGGCTAAGGCAGTGACGGTGGGCAGTGCCAGACTCAGCGGGCCCAGCCCGCCGGGCGCCATCTTGCATGAAGTCCGGATTTGCCGTGCAATCGCGGCTTTAGCCTGTTGGCCTAAAGAGCTGCAAAGGCCTAAGTGGTTTGGGAGTTTGGGGCGCTATCTCTACGCTTCCTCTGCTGGCTTGCAGCAAAGGTGCACCCCAGTTGTTGTCTGAGTGGCCTCAGCTGGAGCCGGGCACTCACTAGGTTGGCGTGCTAATGCTGCCACCTCGCGGCCTTCTGTCCGCGGATGGCGCGGCACTGTCGCACTCTCCCGATTTTCCGTGCTAGGTTTCGGTTGCGGAGCCTCAAGCGTCATCGTTTTGACCCTGGGATGTGTCTGGCTCCGTACATGAGGAGCGCTGTCGGGGTCTGGGTGTCCAGTGGGCAGGCATGAGGGTGGGGGTCGTCCTGAGAGACCATGCCGCAGGTGCGCAACTGCGGAGGCGCCATCTTGAGGGACAGCCAGCTGGCTGCAGGAGGCGGCCCTTAGGGCGGGGCTATCGTCCTGAATAGTGGAGCCTCACAGCCCCGCCCTCCCTGGCGCCATTTTATTGCCCGAAGGCGGGGCTTCTATGGGCTATGCGGGTATCTTGAGTGACAGCTGGCCCGGCTTGCTGCAAAGAGGCAGGGTCGAGGGCGGGGCTTCCGGGCCTGAGTTACCACAGGGCCCCGCCTACCATGACGCCATCCTGCGGGCTGCTGGCCGGAAGGGGGCGCGGCTAGGAGGAGTTATGAAGGGGACCGCTGACGTGATGCGGGCACAGTCTTGAATGACAGCCTATTTGGCTGCAGGGGACGGGCCAGGGGCGGGACTCTTGTCTTGATTGATGTGATCATACAGCTTGAGTGCCCTGAGTCCCACCCAACGTTGCCATCTTTTCCCGGCAACCGAAGGCGGCTACCAATGATGGGGCAGGCGCCATCTTGAACGACAGAGGGGCTAGCTGTTGAGGAGGAGCTAAGGGAGGAGCTTTCTTCTCATGATTGATTAGGCTGCTCGGGTTGGCGTCGTCTGTTTTCCGTAGAAGGGATGTCTGAGGTTGTCAGTGTAGATGTCATCCTGAGTGACGGTTGGACTGGCTGGCTGCGAGAGGCAGGCCAGAGGGAGAGGGGTACGGTCCTGGGTGTGTCCGATCGCTGAGCCCCACTCACCTTGGCGCCATCTTTATAGGACACGAGAGCGGCTGACATCTATGGTGCAGGCGCCATCTTGCACGCTAGCTAATCTGGCTGCGAGGGGCCAGCCGGGGAGGGGTTATCCTCCTGAGTGACGGGCGGCACACCCCGGCCCGCCCTTAGTGAACACAGTCGGCTGTGGTGGTGTCTCTTGAGTGACAGCTGCATGGGCGGGCTTCAAGCCACAGCGGAGCTCCGCCTACCCTGACGCCATCTTTGCTGATGTTGGTGGTGCAGTAGCCGTTTTGAATGACAGCTGGGTTTGCCGCAGAAGGAGGACCAGAGGGCGGAGCTCTGGTTTGGACTCTGGAGTCCTGCCCACCCAGGCGCCATCTTTATTTGTCATGGTTGCGGATTGACTAATGTTCTTTGCGCTGCTGTCACCTTGAGTGGCCACTAGAGGGGGCAGAGGGACAGAAAGGATCTGGTCCTGAGGGACCATAGAGCCCTGTCCACCCTGGCTCCAATTTTGATGGCGCATTTATCTCGCATGAGTCATCTTGAATGACAGCTGGGTTAGCTGCAGGGGGCAGGTCCGAGGGAGGGGCTCTCTCTTCTTGAGTGACAGGGCCTCAGAAGTCCGCCCACCCTGGCGCCATCTTTGTTGGTCACAAGGGGGCGTTTGATGTTCACTCTGGGGGTGTCGATTTGAATGACTTCTAGGCTTGCTGCAGGAGGCGGGCTAGAAGGCGGGGCGTCTGGTCCTACTCACCCTGGCGCCATCTTTGTTGGCCACAAGGGGGCATCTGGCTTTCGCTGTGCAGATGTCATCTTGATTGCCTTCAGGGACCGTAGACAACATAGCCTTACCCACCCTCCCTGGCGCCATCTTTGTTGGCCACAAGGGGGCGTCTGCCATTCCCTGTGCATGTGTCACCTGTAGGCAGCAGTCTGACGGAGAGGTTGTCCTTTTTTCATAACAGAGTTACAGAGCTCTGTGTTGTCTTGGTAGACTAAGGACTGAGCAGGTTTCATCTTGGGTGCAACAGAGGGCAGGGGTCACAGTGCCTCCACTTTATAGCCACACATAGGTGACTGCACTCTTTTCATACATAGGTACCAGAAGGGGGGAAAGATGGGGTTAGGCATGGTGGGAAGGAAGTGGTTGTTGGTGGGGATAGAGGGGGTGGGTCAATGTCAGCACCCAGAAGACTAGCGCCACTAGAAGGCCTCTGGGGCTATCACACTATGGGTGAACTCTCCCAGTACTGTTTACTCAGAGATTTTAAGTCCCTCCTTGACCATTTCTTTTCCTCTAATTTTCACCTACAACATGTTTCCTTGCACTTAGAGGTTGGGAATGTCACATAGCTAATTAGTAACCAATTAGGTTCTTGGATTGGTTCCTTAATCCAGAATCCCCTTGAAGATACCAAGACACCTCAGCAATTTCTTTAGGAGAGGACTGTAATTAAAGTCCGGGGCACAGCGTGTGTCTGGGGAAGAGCTGATCGCCCATGACTTTTCATCCTGGGGTGGGGGGAGGTCCTGGCCTCATTTGATGTCTGCCTTTGCAGGGAAAGAAAAGATGAAGCTGCTGCTGTGGGTTGCTTCCCGCCCAGAGAACGCTGTAATTGTAAAATCAGGTCAGTGTTTCATGTCTTCTTTTTCATCCACAGCTCTACCTTCTTGATCTTCTGTCCTTCTTGAGACCGCTGGCAAGAGGAAGCCTAACTAGGTCCTCCAGCAACTAGGTGGCTGGTCCAGGTGAGTTATCCTCACACCTCAGAGCACCACACCCGTCTCTGGAGTGTTCACTTCCCTTCCTTACACTGACATTTTCCTGATGTACATATATGACTCACAACTATAAGAACACCATTTGTACTCTGAGAGCACGCATACCTGTCTGGTGGGTCATGAATTTGCTAGAATTTTCCCGCTTAGCCTTACTTCCTCCTTTTCTTTCTCCTATCTTTCCCCTCTGACACTCAGGTACTCCTTCAGGCTTCCTGCTTGCCTTTGGCTGGGTTATTTAAGAAGCAGGATGAATTGTACTCACCTGTCACTACCCTAGGGAATATTTTGTGCCATGTACCATCTCAACTGGGAAAGGAAGAATTTTCATGGAGCATAAATGGGGGAATTAAAAAATGTGATTGTATGGCTTATATTCTTGAAAGTACACATCTGCACAGAGAAACTAATTTAGTCTGGGAGAGGCCAGACGGTGCCTCCCTGAGATACCTGGGAACCTTAAAGCTGGGCTTTGAAGAATTATAAATGGTATGTTTCATGGGGTGAATACCTTGATAAGAGGGGTCAAAGATGTTCCTGAGGGATGCAGAGAAAGGAGCTGAAAACCAAGGATGTCTGGAGCAAGAGAAGAATGATAACTGACGGAAAAGGTGAGAAAAGGTAAGTTTGAGGGTTTCATTATAAAAGGCCTTAAGAATCAGTGGTAAGTATTTGGGCTTAACTAGAAATGCAATGGGAAGCCACTGAGGTGTTTGGACCACAGGAGTGACATGAAGACCACATGTACATTGGTAGGGATCATCTGGCTGCAAGTTGCAGAGGGCAGGGTAGCCACGCTTGGTTCGGGGAGAGCACCTTGAGTTTGGGTGAGAGACGGCTTGCTTGGCTTGGAGTCCCGGCACTGGAAGACCTGAAGGGGGCATGTTGGAGTGGTGCAAAGAAGGGAGACCTCACAGAACTTGCTCCCTTTTTCACTAGTTTGCTGACTGATTCAGACCAGACATGATGAG